TTTTTTTTTTTTTTTTTTTTGTTGTATACCGTATACCAATTGTATTCTTATTTTTGTTTTTATATAGAGAGAAAAAGATCACAAACAAACAATCGCAGCAACTCAGGAATTTCTTGAAAAGGAAGGTCCTCAACTTCAAGAAAAGTTAATAGATTATGCTAAAGATAAACCTAGTTATATTGAAGAATTTTGGGATGATTCCTATCTTAGTTATACTGATCCAGTTGTTTTAAACCTGAATCCATTCTTTGTTTTGGAAGACGATCCCACTCCCGCGAGAAATAATCAAGTTATTCGTGCCGCTTCTTTAATTCTTTCTTCCTTAAAATTTATTCATGCTTTAAGAACAGAAATTCTTGAACCTGATTATTTTAGGGGTATTCCTCTTTGTATGGCTCAATTTAATCGATTATTTGGAACTGCTCGTTTACCTACTGGAACTGGTTGTACGATGAGTACTTCTCAAGATTCTAGACATATAGTTGTTATATGTCGTGGACAATTTTATTGGTTTGATGTATTAAAGGAAAATAATGAAGTTGGAATTAATGAAAGAGAACTTGTAAATAATCTTAAAACTATTAAACAGGATGCTTCTGATTTACCAATTGTAGATATTGCAAAAAATGCAGTTGGTGTTCTTTCTACTGAAAATCGTACAATTTGGGCTGAGCTTAGAGATATATTAGAAAAATCTTCAGAAGATAATAAGGATGCCTTGAAAGTACTTGATTCTGCTTTATTTGTAGTTTGTTTGGATGAAGTTTCTCCTGAAACTAGTGATGAACTTGCAACAAACATGCTTTGCGGTACATATGATATACAACAAGGTGTACAATGTGGTACTTGTTCCAATCGTTGGTATGATAAATTGCAGATTATTGTCTGTGAAAATGGTTCAGCCGGTGTAAATTTTGAACATACTGGTAAATTTGTATAATAATAATTGGTTTATTTATCATTTATATATTTTGATAAAGTTAACATTCTTTTATCCATTTTTTTCCTAAAGGTGTTGATGGTCATACTGTCTTACGTTTTGTTTCGGATATTTATACTGATACTATTTTACGATTTGCACATAAAATTAATAGTCATGCAACACCTATATTCAATTCACAACCAACTTCTCATCATCATCAAACAAATGGTATAATAGATACAAATCCAAAGAAACTTGAATGGAGTTTTAAACCTGAAATTCATGTTGGTATTAGATTTGCAGAAACAAGGTTAAGTGATCTTATATTACAGAATGAAGTTAAAGTTCTCGAATTTGATAAGTATGGAAAAAGTTTTATCACACACTATAATTTTAGTCCGGATGCTTTTGTTCAGGTAAAAAATTTTTTTTTAAAAAAATTTTAAAAATATAATTTATACCATTTTTTTATCATATCTTTTTTTTTATTTTATTTATAGATGGCTTTTCAAGCTGCTTATTATGGTCTTTATGGTTCAATTGAAAGTACTTATGAACCGGCAATGACTAAGGCATTCCTTCATGGACGAACTGAAGCAATTCGTTCTGTTACCACAGAATCCGTTGATTTTGTAAAACTTTGGTGGACTGATGCACCTGGTTCAGAAAAACTTAAAGCTTTACGTGCAGCTGTTAAAGCTCATGTACACTTGACAAAAATGTGTGCAAAAGGTTTGGGGCAAGATAGGCATTTATATGCTTTGCAATGTGTATGGCAAAAAGAGGTTGGCAACTCTAATAATGAAGCAAAGTTACCAGCTATATTTAGAGATATAGGTTGGCAAACTTTAAGTAGCACAGTAATAAGCACAAGTAATTGTGGTAATCCTGCTTTAAGGTTATTTGGGTTTGGACCGGTAGTTTCGGAGGGTTTTGGTATAGGTTATATCATAAAAGACGAAGGAATTGCGGTAAGTTATATGATTCAACCTTTTTAAATTTATTTTTTTTATTTATTTTATAATTTTTTAAAATAATTTTATTTGGTTTTACAGTTTTGTGCCTCATCTAAACATAGACAGACGCGTCGTTTCCTCCAAACTCTTGAGAATTACTTTAATGATGTTCGCTTATTACTTCAGTCAGAAAAACGTGTTCCTGGTACAATACGTAATTCATCTGAAGAAGAGAACATTAGCATGCTTTCAGGATATGGTTATTTTGACGCTGGTGGTATTGATTCATTATTTGAGCATCGTTTGGAAGAAAAGAGAGGAGGAATGAAAAGAGTTGGTAGAGCATTGAAACCTGTGGATTATTGTTAATTTTGCTATGATAACTAAATTATTTAATAATTATTTAAAGTTTATTTTCACCAGTCTTAACCTAATAATAATTTGAAAGTATTATTTAAAGGCAGTTGCTTGTAATTGGTTTCAGAAAGGCTTTAAACTTTAGAATCTAGATTGTTATGAAGAGAAAAAGTATTTCAAACGTTAAAAGTGCGGATATTTCAAACATTAAAAGTGCGGTAAGTTACCAAAAAGAATTGGGTAATTAATTATTTATATAGTTACTATATTTATTTTCATATCAATAATAATACCAATACAATCATTGTCATCATATTCATTAATATCAAATAAAAGAACAATTCAACATTTTCAAGTGGTTTTATTGACTAATATTTTTAAAATTCATTTACTCGAATTGACATCAAAAAAAAAAAAGATATTTAATTCATTAAAAAAACGATATTATAATTTTGGAAGTGGTAAGTTGCAGGTAAATTTCAAAAAAAAAAAATTAATTTTTTTATATATTAAATATATTAATTTTTATTTGTTTCGAATCATTGATTCAAAAATTGACAGCATTGCCGCCATGTTGTAAACTTATGAGAAGAGCCAAAAAAGTGTTACATGTCAATGATCCATATGATATCACACTATTAAAGAACAATTATAAGTGGGTTAAGTGGGCTAAGTGGACCGACTTTGACACACGTGAAATTTCAGCAGAATATTATTCAATATTTTACATAATACACGGCATTGCATGTTCAAATGCTCGTGTCATAATTGCATGTTCAAATGCTCGTGCCATAATTGCATGTTCAAATGCTCATCATAATATTTACTGCACGATAACATTTATCTTATGTTATTAATATTATAATATTAAAGAATTAAATAATATTTGTAAGATCACATAATTATGGTGCATAATGCATAATATAATTTAACAAAATATAGAAGTAACTTTTAATGGATAACTTACAAACTCGTTCAAATTTTCGAGATTAACTGATTAACCATTTCTTTTTCCTCATCAGTTTCGATTACCAACAATCTAAAATTTTCAGTTGACCCACTAGAAATATCCACAACATCTTTTCCGCTCTTAAACAATTCTTCAACACTTTTATTCCTTTCTTTATCAACACTCTTAAATCCTAAACATTTAATTTTCTCGGCAACAGCTTCGCGTAATTCTTTATTATTTTCTCCAATTCCACCAGTAAATATTAATGCACTCACATTACCTTCTAATGTTACAAAATAACTTCCAATATAATTTACAATACGATTAATAAAAATATCAAAAGTTAATTTTGCTCTTTCTTTATTAATAGAAGAATTGGAGTTTTCACTTCCATTTGTAGTATCTTGAATTTGTTTTACAATTTCACTAAAATCCGAAGTACCACAAAGACCTTTAAATCCTGAATTATGATTTAAAATGGATTCTGCTTCTGTTAAATGAAATTGTTTATCTACTGGATGATGAGATTCATCACCCTTGCGTGCTTTTGATGAAAAATGAAATATCGCACATGGATCAATTAAACCAGATCGCGTGCCTCCTGGTAATCCTAATCATTTTATGATGATATGTCGGTTAAAATTGACCATTAGTAAAAAATCAAATTAAAATTAAAATTAAAATTAAAAATTTATTTATTGTAATTTTACCTTCCAAAGGAGTTAAACCCATAGTAGTGTCTACGCTTTTACCACCTCTAATAGCACACATACTAGCTCCACTTCCCAGATGTAAACAAATAAATTTTGAATTATCATCGTTCAGATCAATTCCCATATGTTTGGCAGCAACTTTAGAAACATAGGAATAACTTAAACCGTGAAAACCATATTTTCTAATTCTTTTCTGTTTAGCTTCATCATAAGGTAAAGCATAAGTATAAATATGAGGTTTTATGGATTGATGAAATAAAGTATCAAAAAATGCATAATTTATTGAATTTGATAATTCTTTTAAACAAGATTTTAATATCAATACACTAGAATGATTATGTAATGGAGCCAATTCTGAAAGTGAATCAAGTTTAGAAAGTTCTTTTGAAGGTGATGAATCAGATTTTAAAATTATTGGTTGAGATTCTGTTGTACCATGAACGATTCTATGAACAATATATTTTATTTGTTCTTTTGAATTTATTATAGTATCAAGTAAATAAGATAAAATATGAGAAAATGCTTTTTCATGTGTTTGAATATTTAATGATTTTGAAATTTTTGTATTAGATGATATGATTTTTGCGGTAAATTGTGAAGAAGTTGGTGATGTTATTTCAGTTATTGATCCTTTTGATACTAAATTTATTTCATCTTTTGATTTATCAAAGAGAAATAATTTATATTTCAAACTTGAACTTCCAGCATTGATAGCTAATATGTTTATCTTCGTCATTTTTTGAAATTACTAAATTTTATCAACGGAATAGAAAAAAGGATTTAAGGATTTTTTTTTTTTTAAAAAAAATATACATTTTTTTTTATTTTTTTATTTTTATAAATTAAAATTCATTTTTTTTATTTCCTCTCATATTGACATCAAGATTACGACAAAATTTTTTAAGCAGTTAATTAAGTAATTATTTTTTAATTATTATCTAACTCAAAATTTTGCTCTACCAAAAAAAGGTAATCGGATTTATTTCAACCAAATAACCAAATGGGCTTATTAAATATTAACCAAATAAACTAAATTATATTGAATTTAATTTATCAAGATTTTTATTGTCTGAATTTTCCGATGTGCTACTAAAAATCAAAATCTTTTTTAGTAATCCTAACCCATAAACGAAATTGAAAAGATTTCAAACATTTTGCTGTTTGAAAGATTATCATAAAAAATTTGGCTGTGCCGGATAAGAACCCAAATTAAGCACACAATAAAAATTCATTATAAAATATAAAATGCAATTTTGAAAGAGAAATAAATGTGTAACAAATAGTTCGCAAATGATCTATTCCGTATAAAAGAATTGTTCATACATTACATGTGATTTTCATTCTCACCCCTTATAATAATTTATACATTATGATAAAAGAATTTATTAATTAATTTCTTTATTTATTTAGCATATAATCAAGCATTTAATAATTAGAGCATTCACTAATCAATAAGTTAATATGTTGCTAGGTAAACGAACAGTTTGCTTTATTTCACTTATAGAATTAGATGATGCAACGACTGCTGATACATTTCAATATGTTGAAGTTCTTGAAGTGGAATTTCTTCTGATTGTTGAGGTGCGTGTTCTTGAAATTGCTGCTCATATTGTGGAACCTGCGAATACATCATTGATTCAGAAAATTCCTGTTGTGTGTGTTGTACAATTTGATTCTGATATTGAGTTCCGTCTTGTAACCATGAATCATCATTGTCATTATCCGTCATGACTTTATTATCGGAAGGTTCAAATGGCTGACAAAGCAACATATTGTTTGCATCAGGTCTTTCTTGTTTTTGAATAATAGGATTTTCTTGAACGTTTGATTCTAATTCTTGATTAACCGCAGATGGATCAAATGGTTGGCAAAGAAGTAGATCTTGTTTGGCAACCTGATTTTGTTCTCGTTCTTGATGTGTAGGAATAAGATCTTGAATATAGTATGAGTTATGCGCATCTTGATTAACTATGCCCACTTGTATAGGAATCATCGTAGATGGAAGTGAATCCATATATAAATGAGTTCCATTCATATCTGTATTGGTTGAACGATATCCATATGCTTGTGAATTATCAGCCATGTCTAAAAAATCCTCCATAGAATCTCGTTGGTCATATAAGTCGTAAGTTGAATCTGTCGTGTTTGCTGGAAGTTGATATAACCCATCGACCGTATTGTTACTTGTGATGATTTCGGGCAAGTTATTTACTCCATTATCGGAGGCTAGTTGCATTTCTAAATTACCTTGCGAAATTAGTTGTATATTATCTTGAGCTGATATTTCTTCCGTGGAAGGATTTATGTCTGCACTTTCATTTGCTCGCACCGTATTTTGCTCACGATTATATTGTACACGCTCTATACCAATTGACTTTAAAATAATAAAAAGCTTTAGTATCAATTATTTTAGTTTTTAGTTTTTATTTTTTTATTTAAAAAGTTTGATACTTACTGCTTGATATGCTTTCATATCTTCTTGCCACTGCACGAAAGCTTGTGTTACAAGATCATGATAAGTCTGTGAAATCAAGAAATAACATATATAAAGGTTAATTAAAGTGTAGTGTATCTTTTGAGTGAAATAGTAGTAAAATCAGTTATTACCTTCTTTTCATCTTCGGATAATTTTCTCCACGCTTCTCCAAGCATTATTGTTATTTCTTTTGGACCCATCCCAGGATTCTGTTGCTTCAATTCTGCCCTATTAAGGTCAATTAAATATACGAAAAAAAAACAAAACAATCAGTTTATTGCTAGCTAAAAATAGAATAATATCGATAAAAGGGGACCATTATTATATTTGGAAATTAAGATCTACCTTTTCACTAAAGAAAACCTCAAATACGCATTAAGGGGTCTTTTTGGTGCGTTCGGATCTTTGGCTTTTCTTGCTCGTTTTGGTTTGCTTTCACTCTCGTGATTATTTGCCTCAATTTGTAAATTATCATTATTTTTGTTACTTTTACTCTTTCGTTTCCTTGTAGCTTTGCTAGCAGAAGCGGGTAACGCACCATCTGGTGTAGATGCAGCCGTCGATCCTTCCGGCGTTGACATTGCCACATTTGGCTTTGTTTCATGTGAATTTGATATCTTTTCTGTACTAGCTTCCTCAACAACAGTTGCTTTTGTTGCGACAGTTTTTTTATTCGTTCTCTTTTTACGTGGCGTAGCTGCTTTTTTTATCTGTCCATCAGATACTTTTTGATTCTTTCGACTTTTTTGTGTGGATACACTAACCGTCGTTGGTGCTGTATCATTTGGTGGCGTGGGAGGTGAATTATTTTTATTATCATTGCTAGAAGACGAAGACGTATTTGTCACTGCAGAAGCAACCTGTGTTTTAATTACTGGTTTGAAATGACCCATGTTTTCTTTTTATTTAATATTTATAAATAATAATAAATTTTTATAAAAAAAAGTTTTTTATCTTTTTATCGGGAACAAGTAAAAAGCAAGTTATAAATGAGAAGCTTATTTAAGCCGCATGATTATATACTATTTTATCAACCCATCAAAAAGTTTTTTTTTTATTCCCGCAAACTACACAAACTATTATGATTTTTTTTTTTTTTTTTTTTTTTTGATTCGAAATTTCGAGTTTACGTATAGTTTAAAAAAAATTTTTAAAACTCAATTTCTTCTATTCAATCGTCATGTGATTCGAAAACTACAATTTTGTATTACGTAATTAAATGTTTATTGTATTTATTGTATACAGTATATATGGCGATTTTGATTTAAGACCTTAATTAATACTACCGATTGGTTAAAATTAGAATGATTTTCATTAAATTCGTTTCAGCCTCAAAGATATGTCATATTGACTAAATTACTTGATAATCTAATTAATTATCATTATCAAATATGTTGATGTTCTTGATGTACACAAGTAACAATGTAACTAACTAGTATGGTATCTCCATAATAACGCGGAAACTTTAGTATGGTCGATGGATCAATCATCAATATATAAAGATGTGGCTTTTCTTTATCATTTTAATGTTTTTTTATCTGGATTTGTCAACTCCTCTTAATTTTTAAAAATGAGTACAGAAGAACAAGATCGATTAGCACATGAACGATTAGAACGTTGGAAACAGCGTTTACAAAATTTAAACGAACTTCAATTACCTACTGATTACCCTAGACCTTCGCCAGCAAAGGTTGTTGAGGCAGTTAAGAAAATAACTTTAACTGAAGCAACATCAATAGCAATTTTACAACTTTCGAGACCATCCCTATCTCTAATAGATGTGAACGGAACAAATAATGGGAACACGTCTCCATTCATAATTCTATTGGCTGCATTCTCCATACTATTATACCGATATACCGGTGTAGAGGATATCGCTGTAGGATCTTCTTCAGGTTCAAGAAATCCTCTCGTTTTAAGAATACCCATTAGCCCTACAGATACTTTTGAACAAGTGGTTCAAAAGGTTCATCAAGTAAGTCAAATTAATGATTATTTTTATAATTATTGAACAATATCACAATATCAAATAACATTATCAAATAACATCCTGTTCATTTAAGGTTGAAGGAGATGCAACTGCTGATGAAATCCCATTTCAATCATTATTATCTTCAATATCTCACTCACCATTGTTTCGTGTTCGTTTTTTTGATCAAACTGATATTCCAGACAAACCACTACTACAAGCGACGTCATCTACAACAGATCTTACTGTTTTAATTACTTCACATTCTTCATTACGCCAGGCACTTTTTTCGATAGAAATCTCAATATCTTATAATCAAGTTTTATTTTCTGAAAAACGAATTTCCCATATATTTTCTCAATTAATTACTATTCTTGATAGTGTAGTTGGAAATAACCAATTAACTGTAGCTCAGATTCCTATCCTATCTAAAAAATGTCGTGAAGTTCTTCCTGATCCACGTTCGGATTTAAAATGGGATGAATTTCAAGGTGCCATTACGGATATTTTTGCTAGTAATGCAAAAAAATTTCCTGATAGGTCTTGTGTGATAGAATCTCGCGCTGATAGTGATGAGAATCATATATTTACATATCGTCATATCTATGAAGCTTCTAACCTTGTTGCACGCTATTTAATTCGAAACGGAATTGAAAGGGAAGATGTAGTTATGATATATGCGTATCGTGGCGTAGATTTAGTTGTTGCAATAATGGGTGTTCTCAAAGCCGGTGCTACATTTAGCGTAATTGGTTAGTAAAAAAAAAAAAAGTAAAAAAAAAGAAAAGAAAATTCTTAAATTGTTAATGATCGATTCTTCCTTAATTTTATTAGATCCGGCTTATCCACCAGATCGCCAAAATATATATTTATCAGTTGCCGTACCACGTGGAATCATTCTGCTCAAACGTACGGGAACTTTACATCCATCTGTTCGCGCATATATTCAAGAGAATCTTGAAATCAAATGTGAAATTCCTGCATTAGAAATTGCAGATGATGGATTTTTAAGGGGTGGTGAAGTTGTTGGTGGTGATGCATTAGATTCAATTCGAAATGCAGATGATGTTAATGTAGTCATTGGACCAGATAGTATTGGAACTTTAAGCTTTACGAGCGGAAGTACTGGAATTCCAAAAGGTAAAAGGAAAAATGTTTACAGTAACTATAATTATCATATGTTAACTTTATTTGTCCTTTTTCATAGGTGTTAGAGGACGCCATTTTTCACTCACACATTATTATCCATGGATGTCGAAAGAATTTGGTCTTTCCGACAAAGATAAATTTACAATGTTGAGTGGAATCGCCCACGATCCAGTTCAGCGTGATAGTAAGTTTTGAATGTTTTATTTAAGGATAGTATTCCACAATTATAATTTAATTCCGATCGGCCATTGGATAGTGAATTTTTGAAAATAAAGTGAAATCGTTGTGGGTACTATCCTTAGTCTCTTGTAAATCTGATTTCACCTATTAAATTGAATGTCTGTTCATTGTCTTTTTTTTTTAGTCTTTACTCCATTGTTTCTTGGAGCTGAATTACATATTCCAACCAGTGAAGATATCGGTGTTCCCGGAAGATTGGCTACTTGGATGGCTGAACATGAAGTTACAATAACTCATTTAACTCCAGGTAAAATAATTAATTTTTGTTTATATATTAATTTATTGAGTTAATTCTAATTATTGTTTACTGTTGAATGGTAGCTATGGGTCAATTGTTAGCTGCAAATGCTGATACACCAATACCTTCTCTTCGAAATGCTTTCTTTGTTGGTGATATTTTAACAAGGCGTGATTGTAACCGTCTTCAACATCTAGCACGCAACACCAATATTATTAATATGTATGGAACAACAGAAACACAACGATCTGTTTCTTATTTTACTATTCCATCACATTCATCTTTCCCTTCATTTTTATCATCTCAGAAGGATGTTATACCCGCTGGAAAGGGTATGCAAAATGTTCAGTTGCTTGTTGTTAATAGACAAAAAAAAGATATCTTATGTGGTGTCGGTGAGATTGGTGAAATTTATGTTAGAGCGGGTGGGTTAGCTGAAAGTTATTTAAAATTAGATAACATAACAAGGGAAAAATTTATTAATAATTGGTTTTGCGATATCCAAAACACAAATGAAAATAAGGGAAATGAAAAATGGGGTGAATTTTGGAAAGGCAAGAGAGATAGATTATATAAGACTGGTGATTTAGGAAGATATATGCCAGACGGAAACGGTATGAGTAATTTTTGACTATTTTATATATAATTTTAGATGATTATGTTTTAATTATTTTTCTTTTTTTTTTTTAGTCGAGTGTAGTGGAAGAGCTGATGATCAAGTTAAAATTCGAGGATTTAGGATTGAACTTAGTGAAATAGATACATATCTCTCACAGCATCCAAATGTAAGAGAAAATGTTACTTTGGTTCGTAGAGATAAATATGAAGAGCAAACTCTTGTCAGTTATTTTGTGCCTATGAAAGGAGATGATCAATCAGAGCTGATAAGTTCTACTGAAGACGAAGATGAAGAAGAAACGCCTTACAATTTTAAATATCGTAAGCTTGTTAAAAAAATAAAAGAATATTTAAAAACGAAATTACCAAGCTATAGTGTACCAAGTGGTAAGTTTTAAATAATTTAAATAATTTAGCTCTTTATAATAATATAACTAATTTATGGTTTGTTTTAGTGATTGTTCCACTTAAAAAGATGCCTTTAACACCAAATGGAAAGATAGATAAGCCTGCATTGCCTTTTCCTGATACCGCTGAACAGTCAACTAAAATTGTTAATAAAGTACAACAGATGACATCAACTGAACAGCAAGTACATGAGATATGGACTCGACTTCTTCCAAATTCAGTTAAAGCCAATATATCATTGGACGAGAGTTTCTTTGACCTTGGTGGACATTCAATTTTAGCCACGAGATTAATTTTTGAACTTAGAAAAACTTGTAACGTAAGCGTGCCCCTTGGACTTGTCTTTGAAAAACCGACCATACGTGGACAAGCAAAAGAAGTTGAGAATATTTTAAGTAGTGAGTATAATATTGCTGTTGAAGAGACTGATACAGAAGAACTGGATACTGCAAATGAAGGCAAATCTGAAGATATTGATTCTAGGGAAGATAAACTCGAATTTGATTATGCCAGCGATTATGAATCATTGGTAAATGAGCATATAGAAAGAAATTATGAACCGATTCCAGAAAATTATTCCAGGAAAACTTTCTTTGTCACTGGGGTTACCGGATTTCTTGGAGCCTTTATTCTTTCAACTTTACTCGACTATAGCAATGACATTAAACTTATTGCTCATGTTAGAGCCACATCGAAAGTTCATGCAATGGAAAAGGTCAAAAAAAGTTGTCAGTCACATTTAGTATGGAGAAATGAATGGGAGACTCAAGGCAGATTAGAAGTCATTTGTGGTAATTTGGAAGAGGATAGGTTAGGTATTGAAGAAAAAGAATGGGAATCACTTGCAGAACGTGTGGATGTTGTAATTCATAATGGAGCATTGGTAAGAAAATTTTGTGATGTTAACTTTATAGTTCTTTTTTTTATTACTTTTTATTAATTAGTTTATATGTTGCTTTAGGTTCATTGGGTTTTTCCCTATTCAAAACTCAAAGCAACCAATGTGCTTGGAACTGTATGGGCACTTAAACTTGCCTCAACACATCACACCAAACCTTTTAATTTTGTTAGTTCAACTTCTGTCCTTGACACTGAACATTATGTCGATTTAAGTGGTTCAATTGTTGAGAGGGGTGGTAAAGGAATATATGAAGACGACGATTTAGAAGGTAGTAGGAGAGGATTAAGGAGCGGATACGGACAAAGCAAATGGGTTGCGGAAAAACTAATTATGGAAGCAAGTAAGAGAGGAATGCCAGCTACAATAATAAGACCTGGATACATTGTTGGACATTCTAAAACTGGTGGTATGTTTAATTAGAGAAACTTTTGTTAAATTTTATTTTACTTTTATTAATGATTATGTATCCTAATTTAACAGTTACAAACACGGATGATTTTATTTGGAGATTAATTAAAGGATGTGTTCAACTTGGGCTAGTTCCTACCATTCATAACACCGTTAATATGTGTCCGGTAGATTATGTTGCGGAATGTGTTGTACGCATATCACTATCGTCTACTGCAGCATCAAAACTTGTTTTCCACATTACACATCCCTCAGATCCATCATTTATGTTCGACGAGTTATTTAATTGCTTGTATCGTTATGGGTATACGGTAAATGAAACGGAATATATTGTATGGAGAGACAGATTAATGGAACTTACATTACAAGCAGAAGACAATGCATTATATCCGTTGCTTTATTTCGTTCTTGATGATTTACCAACATCAACAAAATCTCCCGAATTAGATAATAGTAACACACGAGAAATTACTAAAATAGAATGTGAAAGGATGGGAGAAAGATTAATAGGAATTTATTTAGGTTATTTAGTTAAAGTAGGATTTTTGGATAAACCTGATTTAAGAGGAAAAGTAATAAATAATAACGGAGTTGAAATTTTAGATTTACCTGATGTTGTCGCAGCTTTGGAAGGAGTTGAAGTTTTGAAAAGAAATAGATAGGAATTAAAAAATTATTTATTATATTATTATTAATATAATTAATTTTAGTATATAAAAAATTAAATGAAAAAAAAAATTATTTGGTATTATCTTCAATTCACATGCACTTTTAATTATTATGGTTTTGGGTTGAGGAGCATTATATCATTGAGATGTGAAGAGAGTGTGTGGATTGATGATCATGTAGACATGTAATTAGAAATACAATTATTACACTCAAAATGTCCGAACCAATATTTAACTTGATAATATTTTTTAATCTTTCTAAAAAAAAAAATAATAATTATTATGCATAATAAATACATCTTTTTTCTTTAAATCATTCCACAGATGACTTCTTACTTTATTTCTTGATTTATTTCTTAATAATTTTTACTTTAATTTATTTTTTCTCACAAATTGCAAATAAAAGTTTCTTAGAATATTTGATTTCTATTATCTGTAAACTGCTTTACAGTATTATTTTGCATTATTCATTAAAATTTGTTCCAAGTAATTAGAAATACAGTTGTAATGGTAATATTATTATCTTTTGTAAACGTTTTTAAAGTAAAGTTTTAGATAATTTCTCAGGTAAAATGTTTGGAATCAAATATTCTTTGCGAAAACGTTTCACCGACAATGTTTCGCTGACAATCATCTCACCGACAAGGGAATTTAGGATTAGATTAAGGGCATGGTAAGGATGGATACCATAAAAAATTATTTTAAATTGAAAAAAAAAAAAATCGAAAAATTGATGCAGGAGTGCGTGGTGATGAATGGATATGCAAACCAATGACCAGACCAAAGATGTGAATTAGAAATTTGGATCAAATCCTCATCGAACAAAGAAGTAAAAGTACTAGATGAATATGAGCTCGGCAAACTACCATTGGTTCTACTGCTTTTCTTTTTGAACCATTTAAAAGCTTCTTCATGGCACGATTCAAATAGGAGATAAAAATGCTAAATTTAAACAAATAGAATGTACAAAGCTCTAATATCATTTATTTTAGTGAATCTATACGATAAGAAGACGTTTAAGTAAAAAATTCCCAATGAAAATGAAATAATAAGACGACATAAGAGAAATGAATAAGATAAAAAACTTACGAAGACGAAACCATCAATGTATTAATTACTGTAGATAGATATTTATATTTTTGATGATTGGAAAAGACTCTGGACAATAATTCATATAATAATGGTAAAGAATAAATGATAATGAATGTGTGAGAAATGAGGATGAAATGCTAATCATAGGCTTCCTATGTCATATTATCGTGACGTTTGTCTATTTCGTCAAGAAGAAAGTTACAATAGTCAATTTATCAAAAGTCTTCATGATGAATCTTCTTTCTTTGGTATCATTAATTGGTACAAAAATCGAAACATCTTATGAACACTGATCGAAATAGTTCAATAGCTTCATTGTCTTTATCTTCCTTAAAATGTATCCGTTCAGGATTTCCATTTTGACGAGTTTGGTATTTCTATTTTAGTCAAAAGACGAATTTTTCCATAATCACCAATGTTATATATTTATCATTATACAATAATTCTCATTCTGTGATCAATAATAGAAAATTTAATGAATTACTAATTTGTTAAAATAAAATAATATATATATATATGTATTTTTGCATACCTTAAGTAATTCCTGAAATTTATCTTTACAGTATGTATATATCTTCTACAACCTGATACTCAAAACCTTTCAATTTTTATAACCTATAAAGAATATTAAAAGGTGAATGTTATTGGCTTAACGAGATACCCAAATGATAAGTTCACTTACGTGTTAAATCAAAAAACAACTTGAAATCTGTAGCTTTACATTGTGACATCTAAGCATTTTTTTTTCTAAAATATTTTAACGTCCAATGCTATTTAAAGAACGTAGAACGAGTATGCTGTAAAATTACGTTATCACTTATCAAAATTGATGATCCCAAATATCCGATCAATGTGTTGTGTTACAGATAAAATTTTTATTTAAGTTATTCACCTGTTATTTTTCTTAATTATATATAAATACAGACGGAAGTTTCCTAGTTCGTTCATTTAAAAAAATATACTTTCTTTATATTTTAATTTAATTAAAAGGTATTTCCATTACTAGACAAAGATTTAAATTTTAATAATAAATAGCAGTTTTTGTGCTTCATTAATTGATTTTTCATAATAATAAATCATGTTTATAGCAAACCCTTTTTCAAAAAGTCTATATACTCAAAAAGGTACGTGTTCTTTAACGTGTAATCATAAATCACTTTATGTTCAAAAATGTTTTCTTTTTTAATCAAAAAAAGAATTTTTTTATTAGACTTTCTCTCTTTTGGTATTACATTAAATGAACACCAACAATGATAACTTATCGGATAAGGAAAAATTGTTGGATACAAATGCCAAAACAACGCGAAAACAAAATCAATGGACTATAAATGATTTAAAAGTTAACATTGATTCTGTTTATAGGAGTCCATATTCATCAACTGGAAGTTTGGTTATCTCTCAGTCTACAGATAATCAAGATGAATCATTAATTAGTAATAACGATAATTTCTCAGAAATTCGATATAAAGGATCAAATATATCTTCTTCGGCACGTAGAGGAAGTCTTGTATTATCAGATTCAGAATCAGATCGTTCACTAACATTGTTAACGCCGCCAAATGTAAGAAGAAGAGCACTTTCTGCAACTTCTAGACCAAAAGATAGATTTTCAATGCTTGAATTTGGATCTTCTAAGATAGATGATGTCAATAAATTATCACCAACAAGACATAGTATGGCATTTGATAATGGATTTAATATAAACAATAAAATGATAAAGAATTCATTAGAGGATCGTGAAATTATAGATCGAGTAAGAATCGGTAACGCTGGTAAAGGCTTTGGAAATTTAATTAACAATGACGGTGAAAAAGGTATTTTTGTTTTTCTTTTATAAAAAAAAATTTATTTGAATAATAACTTATTAGAATTTTTTTTTTTAACATATATTTTTTATAAAAAGGGTCTATTGCTGATTTAATTGCTGATGTAAAAGACGAGGATGCTGTTAAGTTAGCAATGATTACTCAAAAACATGCTGGTCAAAAAAATCGAATGCATAACACTGAAACTGATATCGAAAAGTCTATAGCACAAAAAGACGGTAAAAAAAATTTTCATCAAGTATTTAAAATTTGAAAATGTTTCGTTTTGTTAATTTTTTTTGCTTTTTACAGGGCGGGTTTTTTCGGAAGCAACTATAACTAATTCCACAATGTGTAAACAATTTCTTGAAAATAAATATCACATATTATTTAAAATAATTAATAATAATGGAGTGTATAATCCTTTGACAATTGTTAAAATTCGAAAAAATGATTTGCCACGTGATGGGTCAGATCATAGTTTGGGATCAAGCGAAAATTCTAGTTGGGGGAATAGTAGAAACAAAATAAAATCGCGTGGATCTTTGCCACGTCACAAAGAATCAAATATATGGAATGTATCACATATGGAAATAATAAAGGATTATGAACAAAAAAATAAATTTGATCAGATTCACCCTAGTAGACAATTTGTTCGTGACGACAAAGAAAATTTTGACGACGATAAAGATTATCCAGAATCTGAATCTGATGAAATTAAAAAAAGACAAAAATATCTTCAATTATCACAGATGTTTAATCCTCCTACAACACAGGAAATGATGAGATCAAGAGAAAAGGAAGAAAAGGAGAGTAATGATTTAAAGTTGAAGGAGGAAAAACACTCTTTGAGTTCGAACAGTACAACATCTTTATCACAAGGAAAGGAAGATTCTTATAATAAATCGAAAAAATGGTCAATACATTTTTTCAAGCGAAAAGATAGGAAACATAAAAATAAGTCGAGTTTATCTAACATTGGAATTATACAAGTATCAGATGATTCATTGGGACTACAAACGAACGCAAAACATGTGTCTGAAACATCTTCGGGTGACCAAACTCCTCGTAGTTCATTGGAAGATTCAACGCGACAAATAGATTCTGAAGATATAATGAGTAATAGTGAGAGAATGCACTATGAATCAAGTGTATCTGAAGAAAAGCATAACTATAATCGAACTGATGATTTGATAGATGATGTATCAAGTCAAGTTAATTCGCTGGACGGTCATAGTAATAAATCATCAACCAGGAGTTCGGTGAATTTAGAACCGGTAATAATATGATTTTATTGTATATTTTTATTAATTAATATTTTATATCCTTCTAATTTTACAATTTAATTAATTAGGATGATGACGTGGGTTATTCTTCAAGGCAGAATATTGCAGAATCTTCGAATATCGGGGATCATTACGATAAATTTATCGGAGATGAACATGAAGATAATCATTTTAATCGTTTATCGAGTGAAAATAAAGTAATTGAATCTAGTGGATCGGAAGGTAATTAGCAAAATGACTTTTTATTTGACAATCTTTTTTTTTTAATATTAACGGCGTTTTGAATTGCAGATGAGTACGAAGATGAAACTACCATTGGACTTGTGGGAGAAACTGTGTTGGTTAATCTTGATATACTACCACAAGAGCTTGTTAATTTAGTGCACGATTATCAAGAGCATGGTATCGTTGATCGTAATATCGATAATGGACGATTTGGTATGTTTAATATAATAAAAAGCTTTTGTTTTAATCATATCTTAATACTGACGTTATTTTGTTATAGTTGAGTTAGATATTGGATTAAATGAAAATTTCAAATTTCGTAAATTAATTAGCTATGGAGGTAAATTATACTAATAATATATCTATATTGGTTTATTTGACATATTGGTTTATTCCTTTATTTATTTTATTATAGTCGACTTACTGGTTCTTCAGATATCACTTGTGTCAGAGGATGTGGATATCAAAAGGTATTTTGAAATTTACTTTTTCTTGATCGTATGTTCTAATTATATTAAGGATAATTATATATTTACGTACAATGATAAAATTTTTAGTCTAAGTCAACAAGATGCGGATGAAATAATCAAAAGATGTGATGATTATAGTGAATATATTGATGAAGCAATTAAGTTTTTGGAAAATTATGAGGTAATTTTCGTATCTCTCTCTCTCTCTCAATATCAATCTATCGATTTTATTACAGGAATAATTATTAACTTATACCAAATTTATAGATACAATTATCCAAGAGAGAAGATATTATTAAAGATAATATATTTAAATCTATCGATATCCTGATGAAATCATCAAATATTTTGGAGTCTTCTTTTGACGTTAATCAGCAATCAATAGCAGAAAATAAAAAGAGTATCAAAGAAGAAATCAAATTATTAAATAATAAACTTGTCAACATTGAAGATACAGTAAATAAACTAGAAGGGCAACATATCAGGTAACTAATAGATTGTTTTAAATAAGGCAACATTTTATTAATTTTATTAAACATTACGCCATATAGTTTCACAGAGAAAATGGAAATTACGTTAAGTAAAATTGAAAACATGACACTGGAAGTTAATAATGATTATTTCAACGATGTAATGTCATTTATCATTTAATTGTTTATTTTTTTGTCAACAATTTATTAAATACTATGAACTGTTTTTAGTTAAAAATTCTTGAAGATGAAATTCAACTTATAATAGCAGAAAGAGAAAAATCGCCATGGTTAGATGTATTTTACTTGATGATGAGTTATGTTATAACAGGTAAATACAATAAATATATCCATAAGAAAATTTAATGGATTTTTATATCTAATTTTTTTTTTTCTTCTAATTAGTCATTATGATTATGTATTGGTTCTGTCTCTTATACACATCTAGATGTGTATAAGAGACAGGGTAAATACAATAAATATATCCATAAGAAAATTTAATGGATTTTTATATCTAATTTTTTTTTTTCTTCTAATTAGTCATTATGATTATGTATTGGTTTGTCGTTGCTTGCTTTAAATTGTTTAAGAAAATATTACTAGTTCCATGCAAGATGGTGGAAATCATTACTTCATCGAATTCTTCCCATTGATACATAATTCTTTTTGCATTAACTTCTATTGCATAAATCATTTAGACACTTACCTGACTTATATTTTTAGCATTATCATCAATTTTATCAATTATTTATGGAAGACAATACTATATTATACCAAATTCATTTCATCTCCTCATTTCATTATTCATACATTATCAGATAAAAGATTACATTATGGAGAATTAACAATCATTTTTAAAATTTTTATGTAAATTATGTAAATAAGTTCGTTATAAAACTATTATCTATATACAAATATTTATTTAATATAATAAATAGTTAACATAAAAATACAATAGATATATAATACAACCCATCAGCTAAATAATTATAAATACAGCCAATTGTTCTTTCAAGTTAATTTTTTTTTATATTAAAGTTCATTCTTTGAAATTTAAAGAACTGTTAATCAATACATCATCCCTATTAAATTGATAATTAATATTTAAAATAATATCGTAAAATTTTTCTGTAGGTCCATAAATTTTATGATTTAATTCCCAAGTAACTTCCGGTATATTTTTATGTAAATGTTTGCCAATTTCTTCACCATATTGATCTAAAAGAAAATAACCTAATTTACCAAAAGGTAATAAACTTTTCAATAACATTTTAGTTAAATGATCATTCTTTGGTTTTAAAACAACAGATGTTATACCATTTGATATTAAATTCTCATGAGCAAATGTTAATGTTAAAATTGCACTAAATCTTTGTAAATTTGTCTCGGATAATGTTGCACAAACTTCTATTATTGAATGTTGTAGTACTGATATAAAGTCATCTAATTTTTTTGAAACTATTTTTGTTATTGGTGAAATTTTGACAGGTTGTGTTGGTAATTCATTACTATCATTTGAAAAATATGAGATTGGAATTTGAAAATAATCAAATTCCTCTTCTAATTCTTCTCTGGACACATAATCTGATCCTGTGATTAGTAAAAAAAATTTTTTGTTTAAAAATAAAAAAAAAAATTAAATTAAATTAAAATAAATAATAAATAAAATATAAAAATAAAATAAAAATAAAATAAATAAATTCTATATACTTACCAGGTTCGGGCCAAACAATTTTATTTCTACGATAAAATTGTAAGATATAACGAAATAATTTACCATCTCTGTCAATAAAATATTCATTCCCATTAACAGGGTGTAATAAAGCCCTATTACGTTCTTGAAACATTGTACCAAGTAATGTTGATGGATATGCTGTTAAAGTTGACCTATAAGTTTCATACTAATGAATAGATAATTTTTTATTAACTGTTAATCCAAATTTAATTCATATAATTTTAGATTTAATGATTTAATTCACATACCTTAATACCGCCCACATTTAAAATTATTCGTTCTGCTGATTCTGGAACACATTGATAATTTTGTCTCGATGAATTTCTTCTATTCATTTTAATTATTTTAGTTTAACGTGATGTAAAATCAGAAGTTATACTTGTAGTTTGAATACAAGTGTAAAAAATTTTTTTGATATACGCTAAATCGCCTGCTTTTTATATGTTTTTTTTACCCGATAATCGAACCGGATAAATACAAAACAAATAATCATATAAATCATCTAATTTTTATTGGTTCAGGTTTCTGTTAAATAAATGGTGGGACGTTAATTTAAAAGAATAAAGCTAGACTGTCCAATTTTGGATGCTACCCCACGGAGAGATTTTATTATAATGACATTTAAATCATTAAACAAGTTATTTAAAAGAAAAAAAGGAAATTAAAAATCTTGGCAAATCCATGACGTTCGTGTAATATTTAATATTTTTTTTCAGGGCAAAGAAATTTAAATATTTGGTAATAAGTCAAAAATTGATTGGTTAAAAAAATCTTAATTACAAATAAAATATGTAAAAAAAATTGAACCAATACCAAAAAGTTGTATACGAAAACCGTCACATAGTTAAAAAAAGAGATTATTTTGAACACAGAATTGCAGTATTTACGACAATTATTGTGTGATCTCAAATTGTCTATTTAAAGCAAGGTACTATAATGCAGGGTCGATAGGACAATGATCACGGTGATCACAATTTCAGGAATGCAGGATGAGTAAAAACGTTAATCAATTTGTTTTACAATGCAATGATACTGAATGATTTTATTAAATTTCCATAGTAAAAAAAACAAAATGCAGAATAAAGTAAATAAACTATATATATATGTAAATGATTATAATAAGTTATATTTTTCTTTTTGGCAATGCTTTGCCGACAATTAATAAAAATATTTTTTTTTTTAAATAATATACACAGTGATTTAAATGAAAAAACAAAGTTTTTGAAATGTGATTAAATCATAATATGTAATGAATGAATTTTTTTTTTTTTTTTGATAGTTACTGATTTAGAAGCACATAAATTTGCTTTTCTTAGCCATAAGTTCTTCCATACGGCTTTCAAGTATTCGTTTTGATTTTTCAGCTTGTTCTTTGGCTCTTCTTTCTTCTAGCAAAACATTCTCAATGACTTTCTTTTCTTGTTGAACTGAAGATTTAGCTTGTTCATATTGTGCTGCCGCATCTTCCAATTGCATCTTCAAACTCTTCATTTGATTTACCAGATCTGATTTTTCACGTTGTAAAACTTGTAATTGTTTTTTAGCAACGCGTAGATTACCCTCCGAATCATTAAGAGAAGCCTCTAAAGTGTCTACAAGTTGACGATTTTGTGAATTGTCTCCTTCTAACTTTGCAATTCGTTTATGGAGTTTTTCCACTTCTTCTGATCCAGCTCGAGAATCCGGTCTCGGTGGAAGTGGTATTGGTATTTTGGGTGGTGGAGTACTCGGTGGCGCACCTGGAGATGGCGGAGGATTAGCTATTGGTACACGTGGTAAAGGTTGATTCGGTGGTGGCGTAAGTGGCAATGAACGAACTGCACTTTTTCTTAAATCTACGGAATTATTCGAAGTATTTGTACGATATCCACCGACTGCATCGAAGTCTGCGGAATTAGGTGTAATGGGACGACCTGAATTTTCTTCCGTTTGTCTTTCGAGTTCACTAATTTTCTCTTGAAGGCTTTTAATAAGATTATTTTGTTGAGCAATTGTGGCTTCTTGTCGGAACAATTTAACTTGTGTTGGATCATCCCCAGTATTTTGTGATCCATTAAGTTCTTTTTCAAGTTTTTCATTTATTTCACTGAGTTTTATAATTTCGGAAGTATCTTCTTTAGCTTTTTGTTTTGCTTGAGAAATTTCATTTTCAAGTGATAATATCTTCGCGTTCAATTCAGCAAGATGCGAGGCAGTTTTATTTCCATTACGACCAGATGTTTGTAGTTGTTGCATCAAGGACTCTATTTGCTGATCAAGCTTTTGACGTTCTTCAAGGGAAGATTCTTTTACCTGTTCTAATACTCTTTTTTCATCTTCAAGTTCTTGAATCTTGGCTTTTAAGGAATCAATTGACGATTTATTATTCTCATTTTCCAATTCCTTTACCTTCTCACTTAAAGATGAAGCGCGATGTTCGGCTTCAACAATTTTCTGATTAAGATCATCATTTGTCTGCCGTAGGCTTTCATTTGCAGCGGCAAGGTTTGCAAGGGATGGATTATCTACAGACGAATTTTTGGCTGCTTCTAGGGCGGTTTCTAATTCTGATATTCGTTCTTTCATTTGAATTTCGTTATCTTCCTGCTTTGTAGCAGTTTCTGTGAATTCTTCGGCTAAAGATTCGAGATCTTTTTGAAGTTGTTCAATTTGTTGAGCTAACACCGCATTTATTTCAAGTTGATCGTTCTTTTCCGATTGAAGCTTATTTACTTTTTTCTGAAGTGTGGCTGCGCGTTCTTCTTGTTCACGTGCTTCTTCTTGAACCTTTTTTAATTCATTCGAAAGTTCTTCAACTACATTTTCATCAACATCTGAATAACTCTGTAATACAGAGTCACGATGAAGTTCATTAATTTCATTTTGTAAAGTTGAACATTTTTCTTTTAATATGTCAATTTCTGAATTTGCTTCGGCAATTTTGGGGATATGGTCATCACGTTCTTTCTCTACTTCTTGAAGTTGGGATTCTAAAACATGAATAAGATCTATTTGTTGACTTTCATTATCTTTGGCTTCTTTAAGATCAATTTCTAATTGTTTAATTTGATTGTTTTTTTCAACTTCAGATGCTTTTGAGCTCTCGATTTCAGCTCTTGTCTTTTCAATTATAGCTTCCAATTCAGCGTATTTCGCATTTTTATCTGAAAGAGATTGTTCCTTTTCTGACAATAAAGCATTACTTTCTTTTAATTTGATTTCAAGTTCGCTAACTTTTTGAGCAGATTTTTCATCTGATTCTTTTGCATCAGAAAGTTGAGAATTTAAAGTAGCAAGTTTTTCTTCAAGGCTTTCTACTGTCTTTTGATCAACCATTGAAGATTCCTTAACTTGTTCAAGTTGAGATTGAAGATCTGAAACTTTATTTTCAAGTGCGAATATAGCTTCTTTCTTTTCAATTTCTTTTGTTTCGAGCATTTTTGTTAATTCATTGACACGTTCAAGATGTTGGTCTCGTTCTTTTTCAGTAAAATTTATCTTGTTTTCAATTTCAGATAAAAATTTATTTCGAGCTTCCATATCCAACTTCAAATTTGTCAATTCAGTTTTCAACTCATTCACAACTTTATCATTGGTTTCTCCACTAGCTTTTAACGTCTCTACTTCATCTTCTAATGATCTTTTCTTTTTCTCCTCCTCATCTTGTTGTTGCTTAGTGGCGTTTAACATATTTGATAAATCTTCAAGGTTTTTAGTATTATCAGCATTTAGTTCCTTTTCTTTTGTTATTTCTTCTCGAACATTCTTTAATTCGCTTTCAAGAGTCATCACAAGTTCTTTTTGAGCAGTAAAATCTTCTTTCATGTTTTTCAATTCTTCAATTGCCGCATCTTTAGCACTTTGAGTTTCTTTAAGTTGAGAATTTAATTGTTCAATTTCGGATTTCTGTTTTTCATCTAATTCTTTTAACACATTGAACTCATCTTTTATCACTTGAATTTGCTCATTTTCCTTTTCTGCTTCCGTGAGTTTAGTTTCCAACTCTTGAATAGTTGATATTAATTGAGATTCTGTTGACTTTAGTTTTGTAAGTTCATCTTTCATACTAATAACTGCAGGTTCATCTTGTTTCAATTTATTTTCAAGAGTTTCAATATATTGTTTCTGTTCGTTTTCCAAAACTCGAAGATTCTCTATCTCAGAAACCAATTGTTGGTATTGTGAATTATTAGAATTGAGTGTATTTTTAAGTTGAATAACTTCATTTTCATATTCTTTTATTTTTTCAAAGTTTTCAGTTGATTTTGATTTCATGTCAACAATTTTAGATTGAAGAGAACTAACTTCAGTTTCAGAATCTTTTAATTTATTCTCAAGTTCAGAAATTTTTTGTTTTTGAGCAACTTCAGATTCTTTTACAAGCTCTAACTCGGTTTTTAAAGCAGCAAGATCTTTATCAGTTTCATGACCTTCTTGAATTAATTGAGATTCCAAACCATTAATTCTTTCTTCTTGAACAATATTTTCTTGACGCAATCGTTGTAAATCTTGTTGAAGTTTGGATTCTTCAGCATTTAAAACTCTAAGACGTTCAACTGCGAGTTTTTCATTTTCTTTTGATTCCTTAAGTTCTTTTCGTACATTTTCTAATTCCGTATGTAAAATTAAACCTTCATCTGAACCACTTTCTAATTTTAATAATTGAGATTGAAGAACTTTCATTTGATCTTGCATCTCGGAATCATGTTTTTTAACTGTTAATAACTGAGATTGTAAAACATTTGCTTCAGCTTCTTTTTCTCGAAGTTTTTGTTGTAACATACCTTTATCAACAAGATCTTTTTTAAGAATTTCAATTGATTCATATTTTCGTTTAATATCATCCTTAAGAATTTCTAATTGAGATTGCAATGAAGAGACTAATTCCTTTTCAACTTGTAAATCTTGAATTGTTTCCGATTTATGTGCAAGTTCATTTTGTAAATCTAACAACTTTTCTTGTAATTTTTCAATATCTCTCTTTGTTGGGTCAATTATATGTAAGTATGAACTTCTTGGAGTTGGAATATGTTGAGCTTCTTTTGCTTTAATTAATCGAGTTTCAAGTTCTTTAGCTTCAGCTTCTAATGCAATCATAGTTTCATCATGTTCATTATCAGAAATTTCATTATTTTCAGTTTGTTCAATTTCACCAATAACATCTTCCGAAATAGTAGATAATCTATTATGTCGTTCTTTTAACGCTTGTCGTTGAGCTTCTCGAACTTCTTGTAATTCATCTTCAAGTCGTCTAATAATATTTTGATGTTCATCGGATGGAAGTAATAAAGTAGCAATTGTATGACTTTTTGATTCTATATCATACTGAAGTTTTTCAACTTGTCGTCTTAAGGTCAAAGTTTCTTCATCATCATTTAATGAATCAGTTTTTGAAGAATCTGTAGTACCTTCAAGACGTGCGGTAGCTTCATCAATTTGTTCTGTTCTTTGTACCTCTTGAGCTTTTATGAGCTCTTGTTCCAATTCTTTAACTCGTGATTGTAATTCATTGATTTGATCCTCTTTTACATCTTTATCATCCTTGGGTTCTTCAATAGTACGATGTAATTCTTCTTGAAGTTCTTGAATATTTGATTCCAATCTCAGTATTTCATCATTTTTCTTTATAAATCCTTTTTCACGTTCTGATAAAGCTTCCATTGTTATTCTTTGTTCTTCCTTAAGATGTTCAACTTCTTCACGTAATCTATGTACAATATCAAGTTCATCAACCTCACTAGCATTGACGGAATAATAAGATATACCATCCGCGTGTTCATATGTCATTACCGACATTACTTCTAATTGAGCTAAAGCGTCACGTCTTTTTAGTTCTTCTCGAAGTTCTTCAACAATATCTATAGTTTCACGATAACTTATTTCAAGTCTAGCGAATTCTTGTTTAACAGCATCTAATCCTTGTGCTTTATCTTCATGTAATAAAGAAAGTTGTTGAATTTCATTATGAAGTTTTCTTATTACAGCAAGATGAGCATCATCTTTTTTATCACCATAAATTTCTGTTGAAAAAGATTTTGACCTTTTATGTTTTAAAGCATTAGTTGAAGAATTATTAGACCTATTTAATATTGTTGGAGGTAATGATAATCTAAATGAATCCGGAGTTTGTGGTGACATTGGAGTAGTTGGAGTAGATTTAATAGTCTCTGATTGAATTAATTTTGCTTCCGTTAATTGATTTTGTAATTCATGAATTTCTAAAAGACATGATTGATATTTTGATTTAATATCTTCAAAATCTTGTAAAGTTTTTTCATGTGTTTTTTGTAATTCATTAAATTTTGATTCTAAAGTAGAAATTAAATCTTGATCATTATTATTATTATTATTAAGTGATAATATAGAAATATCACTTGAATTAAGGAAATTTTGTTCATTTAAATTTTTTAATTCTCTTAATTCATTTTCAAGGGATTCAAGACTTTGTTCTAGAATAAAAATTTTTTTATCTCTAACATTTAAATCATCTAAAAGTAAAGATTTCTCTTCATCAACTTCAGCTTTTCTTAACCTTTCTTCTAATTCATGATATTCTAAATCACGTTGACGTAAACGTTTTTCAAGTTTTGTTATAGTTTCATCCAATTTAGCAGCATGACCTTCATTTGCATATAATTTATTTTCTAAACCTTCTATATAAGCTTCAGAATTTGATTCATTAGATTTTAATTGAGAAATTTCTAATTTCATTTCATTAATTAACTCTTGATCTTTAATTTGTTCTAAAGTAAGATTTTCAAGTTTAACTTCAAGATTTTTTATATAACGTTCCATTGAAGTTTCCATTTCAACATATTTAGCTATCTTACTAGTTAATTCAGCTATATTATTTTTATTTTTTTCATTATTTTGTTCAGCAAATTCTAATTTACCTTCTTGTTCTTGTAAAATAATTTCTGAATGTGATAAAGCTGCTTTTGTAATTGCTAATTCACTTTCAAGTGATGTGAAAGATTTTTCATATTCTTCTATAACAGGTTCAACAACTTCTTTAAATTGTGTATCTTTTAAGATCAATTCATCATCATCATCATCATCATCATCATCAACTTCTTTAATTACAGATAAAGAATTTCTATCACCAACATTTGAATTATTATTATTAACATCATTATCTTGATGTTTTGCTAATTCAGCAGAAGTTTTAGCATAACGTTGAGATAATTTAATATAAGATCTTTTTAATTGTTGAAGTTGATCTTCTAATAATTCTATATCTTTATTATTAATATTTTGATTTTTTTGTTGTTGTTGTTGTTGTTGTGAAAGTTGTTGTGAAAGTTGTTGTGAAAGTTGTTGTGAATGTTGTGAAGTAATAGGTATACCAGAAAAAGATGGAGTTGAAGAACGTTTTGTAAAACTAGGAGTTTCTCTACCATTTAAACTTGGAGTAGTTCTACCATTTAAATTTGGAGTAGTTCTACCATTTAAACTTGGAGTAGTAGTACCATTTAAACTTGGAGTAGTTCTACCTGATGTAGTACCATTTGTTGAAGTACCATTTGAATTTATAACACCAGTAGCAGCTTTAAGAATTTTAATTTCATTCCTTAATCTCATTACTAAAGTTTGTAAATGTTCTACATCATTCCAACCAGCTTCTTCAGCATTTATAGTAGCATTATTTTTAATATTTCTAGCACGATTAGCATATTTTAATGTATTAACAGTTTCAACAAGATTATATTCAGCTGGAGATACACAAGCAATCATTAAAGTTTGTGCATTACCACCAAGAGAATCTTGTAGAAGGCGAGTAAGTTTTGAATCTCTATATGGAATATGAGTAGTATGTTTTGCTTTATTTGGATCACCTAAAGCAGAAATTACATTTCCCAAAGCCAAAAGACCCGAATTAATTGAAATCCCCTCCTTAACCCGTTCACCAACCGCAGATGTACGTTTTAACTATAAGAATATCCGAATAACAAAAAAAAAAAAAAAAAATTAAGATAAAAATAAAATATAAATAATAAATAAATAAACAACTATATATATAAACCTTTACATATATATAAACCTTTAATATATAAACATTTATATATATATAAATCTCTTTTGACTTACCCTCTCACTACCAGCTAAATCAACAAAATGAAATTTACTTGTAACGGAAACCCATTCACCCTCATCAAACCTTCTACTTAATCTAGAATTTGACCTTGATGGAGGTCTTACACCAGATTTTTGATCTGGTTGAGGTGATGGACTTGATCCACCAGATGATATAAATTTTTGTTGTGCTAATGTTACAGAAAAAATAGCATGGGATCTAGAAGATTTAGCATTCATATCTGTTGCACCGGTTTGACGATTTAATGAACCGCGTGTCAAATGTCTAAAAATAAAAATAAAAATAATAATGAGAATTATATATATATTATATGAGGTATACATACATACATACATACATACATATATATATATATATATATATATTACATATTTAAACTTACGAAATAACTTCTTCAACGCTATTGACTTTAATTTCTTGTAACCCACTCCATAAAATATTTCCTTTCGAATCTTCTCTAATCAAAACTTGTGGTCTTGATTCACCATCACCTTCACCAAGTAAATCAATTAAATCTTCATTATAAATTTCAATGAAAGAAACTTTGATTGAAAATTTTCTCGTTTTATATTGAGCAGATTCCATTGAAGAAAATAAAGTTGAAACAGCTCTTGGTATTATTCCTTTATCATCAGGATCTATTAAATCATTATCAGAAGTACCCATCGTAAATGTTTTACCCGATGATGTTTGACCGTATGCCAATATAGTTACATTATATCCTTAAAAAAAAAAAAAAAATCAAATTAAAAAATAAAAAATAAAAAAAAAGTAAAGAAAAGAAAAAGTTAATATAAAATAAAATGAAATAAAAAAAAAAATAGGAATATAATAATTATTACCTTCTAAGAATTTATCGATTAATTTTAAGACGGCTCTATCATATACATCTTTTTGAGTCGAATCAGGACCGAATACATAATCGTAACTAAAATATTGTTTCTTTTCACCGGCTACGATAACTTGATTTGGAGCGTATGGTGCAGTCGATAAAACAGATTTTTGAAACCTTGTAGGTAAATTTACTAAATCTTCGCTTGTTATCGGTCTTATACGAACGGCTAATAAAATAAGTAATTAAAATTAATTAATTAAAAATAATTAATATCGGATTAATTTCTTATCAAGTTAAAAAACTAGTAATTAAGATAAATTTCATGATGAAAATTTCCAAATTAGGATAAACGATCACAAACAAATTTTTAGTTCAAATTAAAAATTAAGGGGTAAATTTTGATCGCTATATTGTCTTTTTTTTCCTGTTTCTCAACTCGTTTCTATAAAAGAAAGAAAAAAAAAAAAGTATATTTTTCAAATAATACTAACCGACTTGTACAGAAGTTTTTTCGGAAGACATCTGTTTTATCTTATATATTACGAATATATTGATGGTTCATATAAATAAATAAAATAAATTATGGGATAAAGAGGTTCCAGACCGTTTTAAGAAAATAGGAAAAGAGAAAGAAAAAGGTTTTGTTTTTTTTTAAAAAAAAAAATATATAATATTATATGTAAGTATCGTTTGATTGTTGTGTAATTATTATGTATTAGATATGATTAGTTGTAATTTCTAATAAAAACAAAAAAAAGTACCGGTTTAACACGGAAAAATAGATGAAATATTATGAAATATTAATAATATAAATAAATAATAAAAAAGAAAGTATATTTTTTTTATAAAAGATTCGACTGGTTTTTTTGGAAGGAGAATAAAAAAAAAAATAAAATAAAATAAATGAATAAATAAATAAAGATATAACTACTCGAATTCGTATCGTTTGTAATGTACAATATATATGATGTATTATATGTTTATATATATTTTTAATTTCCTCTCTTCTTTAAAATTTTAATAAAAAATTTATTTTATTTTTATTTTTTTTTGCTTCGTTTTTGAGGTAATTGAGGTAATTGAGGTAATTGAGGTAGAAGAAGAGGTTGTATTTTTTTTTACAGTTGAGTAACCGCCATTGGAAACCAATGTTATATGCATGAAAAAATTCGATCTACAGAATCAGCATTTCAAATTTAGGAATGTAATATAAATTAGTAATAAATTGACTGTGTATCCACGTCGGCTGTATGGTGCTTGATATAGGGAGGATACCGATTGATCATCAATTGTGAAATGGGGAAAACCATTTGATTGACAAGTAAGTTTGACAAAAGCACGGGACCAAAATTAACTTAAACTTCTATAATAAGAAATTGGTATTTTTATGTATGTATGAATATGTCCACGAATACATTACGGAGTAATTTAAAATAATCTAAGTAAATTTATATATGATATGCATCAAAAACGTACGTTATGTTACGTTACTTTACATAAAAAAGTTTATTTATTCTTTCCATGATAGATAATGATGATTTTTTATCTTTTTTACATGTTTTTATTGTTTATTATTTACATTCAAAATTATTTCCATTATTCTTATGTGTATTCACTGTTCTTAAAAAAGTATGGTCATAATTTTATATTAAATGAAAATCATTATAAATACCATTTATACCATTAATTTATTATTATATTGGCGTAAAAGTTTTACACAATTTGATTGAAATGGTTTCATTATGAAAATCTAGAAATTGCTTTTTATTGTTATTGATGAAACTCTATCAAAACTTTATCTATTTGAAGTTAAATTAATTTACGAGATTAGATTGATTTGCTGGGGGATTTTCCCTTTCATTAAACATATGATTTACCGATCTTTTCCTTTATGTCCACTTTTTTTTTTCATCGTTATATATATGATTAATAACTCTTTTGATATATTTCCAGATTCTGATCGGATCTACGCTACATACGTCAAAACCATGTTCTTTTGACTTGTACATTAAAAAAATTATTTGAAATTTTGTAAATTTTCAAATAAAAATATTCATGAATTATATTTTAATTATTTAATTTTGATTGAAGAAATTTTAACGAAATTATTTAGCATTGGATAATATAAAATATTTGCTTTTAAAATGAAAATTTCATTTTTGTTAATTTAATTGAACATCGAATTCCAAAACTCCTTAATAATTTCAAGTAGTAAATACTACAAAAACCAGCATTATTAATCCAATTTCAATTTGAATAACTAATATATTTAAAATAAAAATCCAAAAATCATTCAGTCCGGATCTCCTATATGAACTTTTCAACATATGATTATTTTTTGATAGTCATGTGATTTACATGGAATTACTTCGATTCATATGAAACGACCGCCCTTAAAAACCCTTTTGGTGTCACCTACGGATTATAAGAACGTGTAAATCGCAAAAAATAAAAACTTAAATTTTCATCCCCTAAATAACGCAGATATTTTCCTTTACCTGTTTTAATTCTAAAATTTTAACATTTTTTGACATTATTCAATTACTGCAAATTTGATAACAAGATTTATGTCAATTTCCAAATATAAAAAGCATCAAAAATCTTTCTTAATGGCTCTTACAAATTGCCAAAAAATAAATATTTAAAAGTTGTTTTTTTCATTTAAAGTTGCCTTTTTTAACAATTATTTGATACACACAACATCATGATTTATTTTTTATTTTTATTTTTATGTTTCAGAAAACCCAAATTGTAGTACAAATCACAAGGACAACAAATATTTTGAGCCGAAAGTAATTCTATCACTGTGAAGCCGAGTATGCGATGACTTCTGACCTTGAAGAAGAATGAGAAACGGGTGGGACCCAACTCATGATTATGTAAAATTGCAAATATTAATAATATAAACAAACTACATGACTCTCAAGTCATGTTACATCAAAATTATTAATTACTGAAATAATATTTTTATAGCAAGCTTTTTTTATTTAGTTTATTTAGTTGGGATTTCCAGTTCAATTTTTTGATCATTATTATTTGTAGGTTCTTTAAAAGAAAAATCATTTTCTGGTAGTAAAAGAATGTAAAGTGCATGTGTAAAACTAATTAAAATAATTAACAACACCAATAAAAGAAAAATAATCTGTTTTCCAACACTAATAATTATTGCAAAAAATATACCACTAGATTCAAATACTCTTAAAAATATTAAAAACTTTATATTTAAGAATAAGTATATAAAAGAAATTAAGTTAACATTCCTATTATTTGTTTGAAGCCAATAAATAGAAATGTAAATTGGAAGCAAGAATGCAATTATATCTACAATATTAAATAACACAATTAGTAAATCTTTATTTAAATATAAGAATTAAATAAACTAAATAATATATATACCAATATAGTTCTAAAAATCATTAAACCATTTAATAGAATTATAAATAAACTGATGGATTTCAAAGCTTAGATAAATAAATCCAAAAATAATTGAAGCAATTAAAAGTTTATCTCAAGTATTATTATTAATATACTGTGAAGGAACTTTACAGAAACTTTTAAAATCGAAACCATATATTGACCATATCGAAAATTTATCGTGAAACCTTTAATCAAGATTTGGTCACGATTTAGTCTCATAAAGTTATAATTTAGTATCGAAGTAATTACTGCACATTAAGACGATCGTCAGCTGATTTGATCGAAATTGTAAAAATGGGTTATTGAAATTTGTAAATAAATGTAAAATTGTGTTTTCGAATTCGTAAATAAATAGTAAACTATTATTAAATATTTATTAGATTATTCATTTTGAAATTGTGAAGTTTTAGAAAATAATTTGTAAATAAATAGTAAACTATATTAAATATTTATTAAATTGTTCATTTTGAAATTTTGAAGTTTCAGAAAATAAATAGAAAAAATACATATTTCGCACATGAATTATATCTAAAATTGATATTTCATCATTAAACTACTAAAAGACTTTTGCCAGTCTTTCATTCGTAACCTAATTGTATTTCAAAAACATGCATCAATTATGTCTTTCACGAAATTTTATTTATTCTTACTGGTTCTTATGTTAGAGGATAGTGATATAACTTGTTTATACAAGTCCAAATTCAAAAAAGATCCAAAAAAGTCACCTAAAAGAAAGTGTAGAATGTTAACAAACATTTTGTTAAAAA